TGTATTAAGGTGAGAGAGGGAATGTAACTATGAAACACTGCATGCTGTATACAGCTTTTATGATTTATAAAGTGACCCTGTCACCATTGGAAAAAAAAATTAAAACTGAAGCCACCCTGTGTAAAAAAGTTACATACTCACCTCGTTCTGATGGGTGGTTAGTTATTTTTTATCTTTGCTCTCTTGAAGAGGCTACAAGCACCCTGCTATTTGCAATTCTGGGTTATGTGGATGTTCAATGGGATGCGCAGGGCGCTATTTAGTGACGTTATAGAATGGTCCCGGCGGCAGCACAGTGGCCTGAATTGGTTAGCCCTTCCGCGGGCAGTACTCGGGTCGTTGTTTTCGTATCCCTGCCATGGCACCACATGCCCGGAGTTTGCATGTTCTGCTCCTGTGACTGCGCGGGTTTCCTCCAGGCTACTCCAGTTTCCTCCCACACTCCAAAAGACATGCTGGTAGTAGGTTTAATTGCCCTGTCTAAAAAATATGTCCCTCGTATGTGTATGTATGGAATTTGAGTTAGGGACTTTAGATTGTACACCCCTTGAGGGTTTAGGGACTGATGTCAATGTTCCAATATATAAATGTATGGTAAAGCGCTGCGGAAATTGACGGCGCTATATAAGTACCTGAAATAAATACAAATAATTAAACCACACGATGAGTATCAGATCCCAGCATGGACACACCCAAAATTTCCAGTGGTGCTCAAATCTTCCGAGTCACAAAAAACATAAAGCAGTACCAAAAAAAAATCTTTCGGTTGGTCGGCTGCATTATATTTTTTTTGTTTGTTTTTTTTTTTTTTTGTTTAACTCCAGGAACCATACTTTTCAAACTATTTACTTTTATTACAAGGTACTATGTAGTGCTGTCAGTTTATGCAGCGTTTACATATGTATTGAACATTCTCATCAGTCCAGTCCTCAAGGAGCTTGCAATCTAAGGTCACGAACTCATATTTATACATATTAACTAGGGCCGGTTTTAGGAAGGGAGCCAATAAACCTACCAGCAATGTCTTTGGAGTGTGGGGTGGAAACAAGATGTACTTGGAGGTAAACCGACGCCAGGCACAGGGAAATATGCAATCGCCAGGCAGGTTTAGTGTCATGGTTGGGTTTGGAACCAACGAACCTAGTGCTGCTAGGCAGAAGTGCCAGCCGCTTAGCCGACTGTGCTGCCCCATATATAGGGGCTTTGTTGTCAGAGAGTGATGAATAACAATTGTAACTGATAACATTCAGCAAGGTCAGAGAATATGTATGCGGGGAGTTGATTGGCTCACAAGATTTTTAGTAGGCATTGGACAGGTATTTTTCCACTTATTCAAATGATTACAACAAAAAGGCCTTTCTCAATGGTATATTTTAACAGACCAAATAGGAAACAAAATTAGAGTTCATTGTTGCGAGATTACATACCTTTAACTCACTGACTACCAGGAAGGATGAAGATTCAGTATCTTTTTTTATGGGGCCTCTGATTTAAAAATTTTTTTTTTTTTTTTCTCAAAGGCACTCTACTGAGAAGAAGGACTTCTGCCTATGGACATTGCTTACATGCTAGATGCTAGCTATCATGCTAATCCTATTGGGGATCACTTACTGAAACACGTTTTGCAGATGTGATTAGACTTCATTCTAAAAACACCTTGCTGCATGCTGGTCAGGGTCAATGACCAGGCTGTTCTAACGCTGGCCATACAAGTATCCCCATTTTCTCCCTTGTGAGAATTTTCCCTTTTGAGATTTACCACAAACCCGTATAATAGGGAGGTCAGAACCTAAACATCTTTCAATGGTTATACAATCAGGCTCGGCCCCTGTGCATATGACTAAGTTGAAGATATAAATAGAAGAGACACTGAATCAGACAAATGTGAATAATGTATGGACAGCCCTAATTCCAGAAGACTGATCAGGTGGCCGAGGTTGTATCTTGGTCTTAGCCTCTGATAAGCCCCTGCTACAGCATGACAGCCTAGATGGGCGAGGGTTAGGAGGGCGGCAGTTATGGAGCCAATCACGAAGCGTGCTTGCATCTATAATAGCATAATCAGGATAGACGAGAGGTGCTGACAGAGGAATAATTTCCAGCCTGTTGCTTGCTTCTTCATTTGTCCAGTCACAGGACTCTGCAATGGAGGAGCGGGTGATCTAGGTCTGTGATTATTAACTAGGGTCATGTCACCATTCTTGGCTGTGCGGCGCTGCTGGTGTAAATTTTCGTAATGCGCCAGGAATAGTTTTTGTGCAGAATAACTGGCAGTTTTACTAGTTATCTGTTTGAACTGTGAATTTATCTGTTTGCCCGGAGTTCCCTTTCTGCCAGTTGCACACTCAAAACTGCAATTGCAGATACCATTTTTGCTTCCAGTTCACACCCAGTACTTCTCTTACCGGTGCATTTTTGGTGCAATGTATATGCTATTGTCTATCCACAATATGGTTCTGTGCAGAATAAACGAAGCTGTTCTGCATTTAGTGTGAACTGGGGGCATTGGATACATTGGAACAAGCACTAGTGCATGCATTTTTGGAGCATAGAAAGAAAACACACGCACTTGGATGCCATCTAGTTTGGTGAACTATACCCTTACCTCTGTAACACAGTGTTAACAAAAAAAATAAAGATTGTATGCTATTGAGATATAGCTCATGGGCACTCTTCCTTTGCTTGATACCACAGCTCCAAGGTGTTGGATTTATTAATGAGCCAAAGGGAGAGAAATACAGTGGTTTGGTTTCGTGTTTTTGCTTTTGTTTTGTGTGTCCTTTGTTACTCACCCCCTTAAAGATGTGTATTTTGATTTCCTCACGATTGGTTAGTTCAATGAGATGAAGATCAATGAAATTCAAAAGTGATCATGCTTCTAGTCCATTCTAGTAAATCTTACCTCAAAGTTGTTGAACTGTCGTGTAAGGGCTCTCCTCCACCAAAGCCCTCTGTCTTGCTCCTTTTTCATAGCAGTGAACCAAGCGGGCAGTAAAGAGACAGGTGGTACTCCCCCTTCCAACAGATCCTCAGTTACAGCCCAGTATACTTGGCTAATCTCCGAATGTCTTGTTTAACCCCTGTTCCCAACTCGTCTGCACCTATCCTGCCTTTTAACCCCTGTAAAATGCCCTCATGTAGCAACTGCTCCCTCTTCTGTTCCATCCTACATGTTCTTCTCTGTCTCCAGAATGCTCCATTCGGTTTGCTAGACCTGCGTTTTACTTGCAGTGCTCCAGTAGTTAAAACCAGAAAAAATCCGAAAATTCTTTCCAAACATACGCATCCTGCCAGTATCCAAAACCGGTGAACCTGCCTTCCGTGACTCGTGACCTGAAGCATTACGTGGCCTGACGCCCTTCTACTCGGCCTTGATGCCTCTCTTCAGCCGGATGCCTCTCTTCTGGCCTGATAGCCTCTCTCATCGGCCTCCTGAAGCCTGATCTACTCGGCCTGAAGCCTCTACTCGGCCTGAAAGGCCTATACTTCAGCCGGACGCCGGCATTCAGCCTGATGCCTTCTCTATCCAGCTATGATGAATCTGATCCATGCCTGACGATCCCTATTAGCCAGTTGACTCGGATGCCTCGCTGTTGATCCAGATGATCCTGGTTACTATGAATGAATCCTGGTGCCCGCTGTCGTGCCAATTGACTCAGATGCCCGCTGTCGTACATGGTGACTCGGTGCCCACTGCCTTGCCAGATGACGCGGTGCCCGCTGGCGAGCCAATATGACCTGATGCCTGGTGACCCAGTGCCTGCCGCTGTCATACCTGGTGACCTGATGCCCGCTGTCGAGCCAGACGATCCATGCTCTGGTGACATCGGTGCCCGCTGTCAAGCCAGGACAATCGGGGTATTTTTTTTTGAAGTACCTGATGATCGGTGCCCACTGTCGTGCCTGCTTGACTCGGTGCCACTGCCTTTGCCAGATGACGCGGTGCCCGCTGTCGAGCCAAATGACTGATGCCTGGTGACCCGATGCCCGCTGTCCAGTCAGACGATCCAGAATGTCTGACATACCTTCAGGTGCCCGCGGTCTTACCAGTATGACTCGGTTGCCCACTGCCTCGCCAGATGACGCGGTGCCCCGCGGGTCGAGCCAAATGACCTGATGCCTGGTGACCCTCGATGCCCGCTGTCATAGTGCCTGACGATCAATGTCTGACCCGAGTGCCATGCGCGGTCATTGCCAGTTGACTCGGAGCCACACTGTCGTGCGTGCCTGGTGACTCGGCGCCCGCCGCTCCGCCTGATGGGGCCCGAGACTGTCGCTCCACTGGGGGTCCGGCGCCCGCCGCTCCGCCTCGAGGGCCCGGAGAAGACCTGTCGCTCCATCTGGGGGGTCCGGCGCCCGCCGCTCCGCCTGGGGCCCGATGGAGACCTGTCGCCTCCGCCCTGAGGGCCCGAGACCTGTCGCTTCCGCCTGGGGGTCCGGCGCCCGCCGCTCCGCCTGAGGGCCCGAGACCTGTCGCTCCACCTGGGGTGTCCGGCGGCCCGCCGCTCCGCCTGAGGGCCCGAGACCTGCGCTTCGCTCACCTGGGGGTCCGGCGCCCGCCGCTCCGCCTGAGGGCCCGAGACCTGTCGCTCCACCCTGGGGGGTCCGGCGCCCGCCGCTCCGCCTGAGGGCCCGAGACCTGTCGCTCCGCCTGGGGTCCGGCGCCCGCCCGCATCCCGCCTGGGGGCCCGATGCCCCTGTCAGCTCCCGCCTGGGGGCCCGATGCCCGTCGCCCGCCTGGGGGGTCCCGCTGCCGGTCGCCCCGCCTGGGGGCCCGAGCCTGTCGCCCCGCCTGGGGGCCGAAGCCTGTCGCCCCGCCTGCCGGGGGGCCCGATGCCTGTCCCGCCCGCCTGGGGGCCCGATGCCTGTCGCCCCGCCTGGGGGCCCGATGCCTGTCGCCCCGCCTGGGGGCCCGATGCCTGTCGCCCCGCCTGGGGGCCCGATGTGCCTGTCGCCCCGCCTCGGGGGGCCCGATGCCTGTCGCCCCGCCTGGGGGCCCGATATGCCTGTCGCCCCGCCTGGGGCCCGATGCCTGTCGCCCCGCCTGGGGGATCCCGGTGCCTTGCTGCCGGGCTCCGCCTGGGGGCCCGATGCCTGTCGCCCCGCCTGGGGGCTCCCGATTGCCTGTCGCCCCGCCTGGGGGCCCGATGTGCCCGCCGCTCCGTCCTGGGGGCCCGATGCCTGTCGCCTCCGCCTAGGGGGCCGGTGACCTGTCTGCCCCGTCTGGGGGTCCCGATGTGCTGTTGCCACCCGCCTGGGCGGCCCGATCTGCCTGTCTGCCCGGCCGGGGGCCCTTTGCCTGTTGCTCCGCCCGGGGGCCCGGTTGCCTGCTGCTGCCCGATCGGGTGCCCCTCTTGCCGAGTGGCCACTGCCCTGCTGCATTTCTGCCCTGGTAATCCCGATGTGCCTCTGCCCCGGAGTCCTCGCCCGATGTGCCTCTGCCCGGAGTCCTGCCCGATGTGCCTCTGCCCGGGGAGTCCTGCTCCGATGTGCCTCTGCCCAAGATGTGCTCTGCGCCGCCAGTTACCAGACCCGGGCAGTGGAACATTTTGCCCAGCTTAGGACTGTTTGGAGCGTCCTGAGGCCGCTCCTTGAGGGGGGGGGGTACTGTCAGGAATGGACTGGCCAGCAATGGTGGGACTCACCTGCCTTTTGATCTGCAGTACCAGGGCTGGCCAGCGGGTGCTCCCAGCAATCAGAGACTCAACCTTTCAGCCAGCTAACACCTGGAACTGATGATACTGGTGTATTTAAGGGATGGCCAGACTTGCAGACTCTGCCTTGGTGTTGTGTTTGTCCTGGGCCCTGTATCTGTCCTGCATCCTGTATCCTGTTCCTGCTCTCTGTTCCTGTCTGATTCTCTGCTGACCCTGTTCTGATCCCTGGCTTGTGACCCTGACCATCCCTCTGCCTGACCCTCTGTACCACGCTGCTTGCTACCTGTTCTGATCCCTGGCTTGTGACCCTGACCATCCCTCTGCCTGACCCTCTGTACTACGATGCTTGCTACCTGCTGAACCTGGCCTGTGACCCCGACCATTCTCCGCTTGCTCCCCCTGTACCTACCTGCCCTATTGATATTGACCCGGCCTGCCTGACGACGCTTGCTTGTTTGTACTGTTATCTGTGGGTGGTTGGTTTGGTTTGTTTGCACTGTATTATGTTTTAGTATTGCACTGCGTTTATGGTTGTATTGTTAGTGTTAATAAATTACATTGTTTATCACATATCTGAAGTCTGCGTTTCCCTGCGTCAGTCACACATCTCTGGTCACACCTGGGAGCCCTGACAAAATGTATACTGTTTGGGGGTTCAAAGTAATTTCCTAGCAAAAAATACAGATTTTGTCATGTGAACAAAAAGTGTCAGAAAAGGCTTGGTCTTCAGGTGGTTAGTAGAGTGATGTGTGGCCTAAACTTCTAATACTGGGCATGAAATACCCCCACCCACCCCCAAAATCACCCCTTTTTGGAAAGTAGACACCCCAAACTATTTGCTGAGAGGCATGTTGAATCAATAGAAGAATTTATTTTTTACCACAAGTTTTTTGGAAAATGACAAAAAAATATTTTTTTTTCACACAAAATTGTTACTTAAATGATTTATTGCTCACACATGCCATGGGTATATGTGGAATTACTCCCCAAAATACATTCTACTACTTCTCCCGAGTATGGGGATACCACATTTGAGAGACTTTTTGGCAGTCTAGCCAAGTACAGGACTCCAAAATCCAATCAGCACCTTCAGGCTTTTAAAGGACTTTATTTCCTCATTACACTTCCAGACTACCTATCACAGTTTCGGAAGGCCCTAAAATGCCAAGATAGCACCAAACTCCACCAAATGGCCCCTTTTTGGAAAGTAGACACTCCAAGGAATTTGATAAGAAGCATGGAGAGTATTTTTCAGATCTCGTTTGTTGCCACAAGTTTTTGGAAAATGAAGAAAGAAAACAAAAACATTTTTTCTTTAACTTTTTATATATAAAAAAACCTTGTGAGAAAAGATGAGATCTGCAAAATACTCACCATGCCTATTTTTAAATTCCATTGGGGTGTCTACTTTTCAAAAATGGGTCATTTGGGGGGGTTGGTGCTATCCTGGCATTTCAGGGCCTCCGAAACTGTCATAGGTAGTGAGGAAGTGTGTAATTCCACATATACCATGGCTTGTGTGAGCAATATATATCATTTAAGTGACAAACTTTGTGTGAAACAAAATGTTTTGTGTCATTTTCCAGAAACTTGTGGAAAAAAAATAAAATCTTCCATGGACTCAATATACCTCTCAGCAGATAGCTTAGGGTGCCTACCTCCAAAATAGGGGTCATTTGGGGGTGTTTGTACTGTGCTGGTAATTTTAGCACCTCAAGAAATGTGAGGCAGTCAGAAAGTAAAAGCTGTGTAAATTCCAATTATCTTATACTATAGTTTATAGATGCTATTAAACGTTCACACAAACCAATTAATATGCAGTTATTGGGATTTTTACCAAAGACAAGTAGCAAAATACATTTTGGCCTAAAATTATGATGAAAATTTAGTTTTTTGGATAATTTTATGACATGAAATGAGCAAATATTTTTTCAATTTTTTTTTTTTTGTTTATAGTGAAAAAAAAAAACCCAGATGTGATCAGATACCACCAAAAGAGAAAGCTCTATTTGTTTGAAAAAAGGACACAAGTTTCATTTATGTTACAGCATTGCATGACCGTGTGCAACTGTAAGTTTAAACTGGCTGCAGGAAAAATGTCGTAAATTGCAGTGTCTATACCACATGTTTGTAGATGCTATAACTTTCACACAAAGCAATCAATATACACTTATTGTGATTTTGTTTTTACCAAATACATGTAGCAGAATCATTTTGGCCTAAATTTATGACTAACGTTGAGTTTACTATTATATTTTTATATAACCAAAAGTAAAACATAATAGTTTTTTTTGTTTAATTTCGTGGTCTTTTTTTGTTTGTAGGTGCAAAAAATAAAAAGCGCATACAGGTTTTATCAAATACCACCAAAAGAAAGCTTTATTTGTGTGAAAAAAAGGACATACATTTTGTTTGGTTACAGCATTGCATGACCGCGCAATTACAAGTTGAATTAGTGCAGTGCCAAATAGCAAAAAAATGGCCTGGTCAGGAAGGGGGGTAAACCCTCAGGAGGGCAAGTTGTTAAAGAAGGGTGAGAAATTACTGTAATAGGATTTAAAGGTTTAATGAAGGAATTCATATTTATGATTTTAATTTAAAAAAATATTGATATTATGTGCAATTAAAGAAAAATCCCCAGATCAGATAGGCTAGATCCGGCCCTGTAGATGATAGTAAAAGTCTTCTTCTTTGCCAGTATTTTAATTTAATCCTTTATATTCATGTAAACAAGTAAATGATTAAAAACACAATTACATTTCTGCACTCAAATGAAACATTTTTCTGTTTTGTTTTGTTTTTTTACTGCTCTGTACTCATCGCTGTATTACTAAACTTTACTCAGCTGTGTGCAATGTCCCTTAGACAATAATGCATCTCATTTCAGATCAGTAAAAAACTCATTTTTTTACTTCCATGTGCAACAGGCTTAAAGGTATATAAATTAGGGGAACTGCGAATGTATTGCAGAGATGTATTGCATATATTTTGACATGGGCTTTAACAGTGGTCCCCAGTGCATTTGAAGTCCTATATTGTGCACACAGGAAGTAATTAGAAAATGTGTGATACAGGGGTGAAAGCTGTGTGAATCCTGGGTGAAACATTAATAAATGACATCCTAGTTCTTGTATTGAACTGTTTTTGTTGCTGTATTGTCTCCCGTTATATTGTAAAGCGCTGAGCAAACTGTTGGCGCTATATAAATCCTCTATAATAATAATAATAATAATAATAATAATATATTAAATGCTAAAATCTCAAAACAATTAAAAAGTAAACAAAACAAAGACAACCAAAAAAATAATTAAAAGAAAGTGAGAAATTACTGTAATAGGTGTTAAAGTTTTAATAAGGGAATTCGTATTTTATGATTTTAATTTAAAAATATTATGTGCAAATTAAAGAAAAATCATTTGAATGTATATTAAAGCACTAAATGAATATACTGTATATTGGAACAATAATATT